ACCATCAACAGTGCAGCGCTGGTTGGGACCGCTCGGGAGAGGCTGCAAATATGGAATCTCAGCGTCAAGCGGAGAAGCAAACTGCCCAGGGCTGCGATGACGACACTTTAATACTTGGGAATAAGCTAACGTGTTGGTGTTGCAGTGGGGAAGAAGCTCGAAGATGTGCGGGTTTGATGTGATCCATGGCAGGTAAGAAAGCTGTTTAGACCCTTCAGATGATGAGATCTTCATATTTTTGGTTCTTCTATGGGGATTTCAGAGGCAGTTCTCCACAACATCGGCGGAAAGATATTTGTCGAAGTCGGTAAAGTTGAGAAAGGAAACATGGAGAAGAATGTGTTGTTAAGGATGAGTTTTTCAAGGATGAGTAGCACAGTGGCAGGCGAAATCGACCCGCACCCCCCTCAGATCCCTGATGGACGGGCTGCCACGGAAAAAGAACAGTAGGGATGGGTCGGAAAGCCATGAGCTGTAAACATTAGGCTGTCGACCAGAAAAAGGAAGAAAGCGAACCACAAGCCATACAAAAACCGTGAGAAGCTCAGTCTTCGGTTCATAACCCTGTTGTTGTTGCCGACTTTCTGCTAAGCTAGTTCTACACAGACTCAAACGTACGACTGCGTGATTTCCCAAACATCCGGTAAAAAGCTTGTCTGAAAGACTGCCGCTGCTGCCAAACGCGTAGTCCATGTTGGGATGCTGAGTTGGGTCAAGGGTAAGACCCGGCTAGAGTGTCATTCTTTGCTAATTATTTGATGCCTTCCCCGCTAAGAGGAGAAAATTATAGCGGCGGAGCAAAATTGCAATTCTTTCAACATCTTTGAATACGATAGTCCATGTCGGAGAGCAAAAAGGGCGTCTCGGTGGCGGCTGCGCATTCCCGTATCGACCTCGTCACACAACGTCTCCGCTTCTTTTCTGTCTGGATCCTCGCAACCATTTCCGCCCTTCCGCACTACGCCCCTCCTTGCTTGCAGATACGGACAGCATAAAGACGAACATGAACACGCGCAACGAAAATAAAGTAATTATCAAAAGAAATTAGCGAAAGTATCAAATGTACCTCCTCTTGAGCCGAATATGCCCTTGAGCTCTAACAACCCAAGCTATACACCATTTGTTTAGGCACTAAGAGTTGAAGATGTTACGCGAACACCCTCCTTCACTTTCATGTGCACCCACCTCCATCAATATCATTTTCTGATCACGATAGGGTATCTTATTGTAGTCGGAAAGTTTGTGACTGTTGGAAGTTCCATAGCGTGCAGAATGAAACGAGCAAGTGGAACAGCTATGTATATCCACTTGTACCTCTCACGCTTCGGCAACTCCTTCTCCCTGAGTTGATATCATTCCACAAGGACAAACGTCACCAGTTATGGGAAATATGCCACTTACACAATCTAAAGCGTACGTCTCTTTGAAGAATTCGCTCACTAGTAATTTTGATTGAAATTTTCCCAGAGCACCAAGGCTTTACTCATATGCTCCTGATAAAATGCCGGATACGCCCGGCTTCTACACTATCGCTGTGAAAATTCAATCTCAGGTAACCCTGAAATGGTTTTACTCTGTACAATAGGCGCATGATTGGCAGTATCTGTTTAGGATAAGCGTCTCATTGGTTTGACTGGTTCGAGCGTACTTGTAAAACGCCCAGTGAGTTCACAGTCGAAGACCTAAAACTAGGAGCACTCGAAAAGGACGACGTCGTCAGCGGCGCTAATCTCGCTAGGTGGGTTTGTGAACATTCTTTTAATAAATGGTTACATACTCCTTGAATTTCTTTTTTCATTTTTTTGATGCATTCCCGATTTTTGCTTTGATTTTCGTATTTTTTTTGACACTGACACACTTGTGAGCCACCGGTAGTGGTTTGGGGAGAACAAAGCGCTCATTGCTACCATTACCACCTCTAACTTGGCTCCTCTTTCTAACAGAATTTCTCACTACTGATGCTTCTGATGTAAACGCGAACTGATTTTTTTCACGTCCTTTTATTGGCTCCCAAGGAGCGCATGTTTTTTTTTTGTCTTTCGGATCTTCATTTCATTTGAGCTAATTCATTACTCATTTTTGTAAGTTAGAGTAGTTTCTCACTTTTTCATCGTATTGCAGTGTTGCTCTGTTCTCAAAGCATGGAAAAGTCATTACGGCAGACCATACGAAACGACTGTACATTTCCTTCTCTGTGAAAAGTAAAGTGTCAGGAAATCTCGTCCAACCTCATCAGGTATGTCATTTTGCAAACCTTCCTTCTTTTAGGTCACGATGGTTGGTAGCGGTTGCTGGCAGCAGCCGCCCGTCTAGCAATCGTGCTTCTGACGTTAATTGTAATGTAAAGATGTAAAGCCTACAGCTAATGAGGAGGAAAGGGAGGTTACAAAAAAATTGAGCTGTTTCTACACCAGAAAAGGCTCAAACTTTTCCAAAATATGGAGATATCGGAGAATCCACGCCTGAGGGTTTGATTCTACTGAGAATCGGGACAAGCGCCAGGAGACGTTAGCGGGCGATTAATAGACACCATCCCACCCTTGATCGCGCTTCATCTTGAAGTGCGCAATCGCAGAGTGTGATCGTGACTTAGCGAATGCGGAATCCTTGAAGAATTTTATCGTTTTTTCTCCCAATGATGTGTTTTCCTCTTTTTTTGTACTGGAACATTTTCAGAATCTGGCCAAAGCTCACAAAGATTTCGAGGGTGTGTCTGGAAAATATACTGCATACCTCATCGTTGCCACCATAAAAACTCCGCTAAACTGGGCCTTCGTGAGTGTGTTCAATCGATTTTGATGCTCGATTCTGCCGTTTTGCGCCTTCATTCGCGTAGCGTTTCTCGTTCCAGGCAGACTTCATGCTCACTCTCCCATCCGCACATCCCGAGGTTGTGCCGAAATCACAGCGTATTACCTATGATGTGTTACCGGAAATTAAGCACGTATTCCGTCAGCCTGAAAAGCGACCGCCAACCATTGTCTCAGATGCTTTAACTCTGATCTGTTTGGCTCCATTGTTGCTGCTGTTTGTACTGGTAAGAATCCTTCTAGTCAATATACTCAATGCTTCCTAGTGAATGTCTTCGTTTCAGTGGTTCCGTATTGGGCTCAATTTTGGCAATATGCCGGTCAGTTTGTGGACGCTGATCTTCCACGGAAGTTTGGCTGGTGAGTTGTAAAGTTGCCTGTTCAACAAGTTTTGTATAATTTGTTTTTACGTGGATCGTGAATAATTTTCTCTGCATTTTAGCCCTGTTCGCCTTGTACTTCGTGTTCTGGCTTCAGCTCAACATGTTGAGACAATGAAGTATTTAGCCGTCGTTGTCTTGACCTACTAGCTCGCGTAAACAAAAAATAGAATAAGTAATATAGTAAATAAACCGTGTCTTAAGGGCGATAGCCGATAAAAGAAAGTGAGTTCAGGAAGTTCAAAGGAAGTGGTAACTAACAGCAGTGAAACGGAGGATGTTTTCAGGAGTAAAGCCGAGTAATACTGAAACTGCCGAAGGGGATTTGGACCAAGAAATTTTAGTTTTTGTTTGTTTCCGAAAAAAGTTGCCAGGCAGACTTTCCTCTGTAAATCGGCCGATTCGGGATTTATAGCTTGATTTCTATTACGTGTGTTATTTAAAGTTATCCATGGCTTTTTTATAGTAGCATATTTATTTGAATGCGTTGTTCTCTTGTTTTGTTGATATCATTTTCTACGGTCAATAAATTATTTCTTGCTTTTGTGTGTAAAATGTTTGCAACAACGCGTTGACAGGTGGCCAAAGGTTACTTTCAATTGACTGGATTATGTTCTGGATGCCTACTAATCGGACTTGATTTGAGGGATGTCCTTGACGAAAAACCTGAAAAGTCTAACATCTGTCGGACCTCGTGCTGTCGTCGCTTGGGACAAGGTGGGATACCATTCGTGTTTTCGCTGTAACCATGCCATTTTAATGGCAAATGAGCAGGACTCGGTCGATACTTCTCGAGTGGGCATGTGCACGTTAATCGACAGTCGTGCCCAATAGGGACTAGGGACGGCAACACTGATGTTACCTTCTCCCAAGCAGCTCTAGAACATGAGGATGCGCTCCTTGCGAACATTTATGTGTAGGAAATGGTATCTCTAGTAGAGGTGCAAGCAAGCAGGCAAAATACAAGGAAAAGAGCATATGTAGGTCAAGGGAGGCGGGCCGCCAATGAAGAGGAAGAACTGTTGACCAGAAAAGGAAGGCAGCGGATCACAAGCCATACAAAAACCGCGAGAAGCTCAGTCTTCGGTTCATAACCCTGTTGTTGTTGCCGACTTTCTGCTAAGCTAGTTCTACACAGACTCAAACGTACGACTGCGTGATTTCGACCCAAACATCCGGTAAAAAGCTTGTCTGAAAGACTGCCGCTGCTGCCAAACGCGTAGTCCATGTTGGGATGCTGAGTTGGGTCAAGGGTAAGACCCGGCTAGAGTGCCATTCTTTGCTAATTATTTGATGCCTTCCCCGCTAAGAGGAGAAAATTATAGCGGCGGAGCAAAATTGCAATTCTTTCAACATCTTTGAATACGATAGTCCATGTCGGAGAGCAAAAAGGGCGTCTCGGTGGCGGCTGCGCATTCCCGTATCGACCTCGTCACACACACGTCTCCGCTTCTTTTCCGTCGGGACCCTCGCAACCATTTCCGCCCTTCCGCACTACGCCCCTCCTTGCATGCAGATACGGACAGCATAAAGACGAACATGAACACGCGCAACGAAAATAAAGTAATTATCAGCTAGCGAAAGCGTCAAATGTACCTCCTCTTGAGCCGAATATGCCCTTGAGCTCTAACAACCCAAGCTATACACCATTTGTTTAGGCACTAAGAGTTGAAGATGTTACGCGAACACCCTCCTTCACTTTCATGTGCACCCACCTCAATCAATATCATTTTCTGCCGTAGGGTATCTTATTGTAGTCGGAAAGTTCGTGACTGCTGGAAGTTCCATAGCGTGCAGAATCAAACGAGCAATTTGAACAGCTATGTTATATCCACTTGTACTTGTCACGCTTCGGCATCTCCCTTACTGCCCAGTTTCCCCTTTTTCAAGAATCGACGGCGGTTCTCTCTACGAGTTCACGTGGAGAAATACAATCTGATAAACCAGGCATGAAAAAGAAGGGCAGGTTGAATTGTTTCTTTGAGAAGATGGCAAGGTGATCGTTCTCCTGATAATCAAGACAAAATTTAATTTCCTTGAGGGTGTTATTTGGTGATGTCACTTTAGGTCGCCTTTGTTTTTACATGCTTCCTCGTTGAAGATTTCTCGAAAACATCCTATACGTAGAGTTTTGTGAGACAAGTAGGTGGAATTGTGGTTACGCCAGACAGTGTAAACACTTAGTAAGCAGCAAAAGACGTAATTTCACATGGAACTATCCAAATCAACTCTGATTTCTTTTCAGCACAAATGTTTTTCGTGTGTAAAATATCAGAGATAGCAAAACATCCCCACTTAGCGAGCAACAATTTCGTCACTGTTGAACTGCGTCTTCGAGCGATCGAGATGTCGTTACACTGTGACTTTCCAACATTCCAGCGGTGAATCCTAACTACCAAGCACGAATCGATTCCGGTTGTACAAGCCACTGTTATCCTTCAGACACTGTTATCGTTTCTACGTTCTTCCCCACAATCAACAGAATTAGCTTTGCCACTACTCAGGATCAGTGGTCCGATCCGAAAAGGTAGTAATTTCGCCTGAGCTCATTTCTTGTTCGTGATCAGGATCAGTACTATGTGTTTCGGACAGATTCCACGGGATGTACGAGAGAACGCCTATAAATCGCCCGCGTGGTGTCAGATTATTTCGTGAAACTGCTGACACGAATATGGTAGAAGTTCACTTCGTGTCCCTCGAGGCTCTGTGAAGAGAGTTCATTGGGCAACTCTTGCACGTTGCAGGGACGAATGGAGACGTTACTGGCGCCCGCTCGAGGAACTCGATGATCAACGGGAGCACAGGTGATACAGGTGAATTTTTTGATGCAACAGTCCCCGGCGTCTAAGAGTGAGAAAAGTATATACGTGGCGGGAGCCAAAAATGCAATGTCTTTCACATTACGTGCTTGAATAACGATAGTCCAGTGTCGGAGAAGCAAAAAGGGCATTTCGGTGGCGACGCTCGCGATCTCCCGTAAGATCTCGTTCGCACACACGTCTCCCTTCTTTTTCGTTCGGGGACCCTCGCAACTTTCCGCGCCTTCCGCACTACGCCCTCCCTTGCTTGCATAATACAAAAAGACAAGCCGTCAAAAAGTCCAAACAGAACCCAATGGACAGCATAAAGACGAACCATGAACACCATCCAACGGAAAATAAAAAGTAATTATCAGCTAGCGAAAAGTGTCAAATAATGTACCTCCGTCTGAGGCCCGAATGGTGCTCCTTAGAGCTCTCTAACAACCCAAGCTCATGCATCATTGTATTAGGCAGCGATAAAGAGTTGAAAACAGGTAACAAGACGTGAACATCTCCTTCGCTATTCATGTTACATCCGCGGGCCATCACTCTATACATTTTTGTTGAATACGATAGACGCGTGTATCTTATTGTAGTCGGAAAGTTCGTGACTGCTGGAAGTTCCATAGCGTGCAGAATCAAACGAGCAATTTGAACAGCTATGTTATATCCACTTGTACTTGTCACGCTTCGGCATCTCCCTTACTGCCCAGTTTCCCCTTTTTCAAGAATCGACGGCGGTTTCTCTTCGAGTTCACGTGGAAAAATACAGTCTGATAAAATAGGCATGAAAAAGAAGGGCCAGCGTTGCATTTGATTATCTCTGTGCATGATGCAGTGATCGTTCTCCAGAAAATTTCAAGAGAAGCTATAGTTTCCTTGATGTTGATGTATGGCGAGTGTCACTTAGAATCGCCTTCTGTTTTTGAAATGCTTCCTCGTGAAGATTTCTATTCGAAAACGAACCCTATAAGTAGATTCCACCTCTCTCTTCCATAAAAACCTCGGCATTAGGTGCATAGTTTAGTTGTAATTTGTTCTGCCAAAGAGGTTAAAGCCAGACACGGAATGGTAGGTGGAAGACTTTATTATAAATGGCCTGACGTTTCGACAGGATCGTCGTCCTCAGAGGCCTAAACATAGCTCAAGGTTTGGATGTTGTATCCACTAGACCGCCAAACGCCTCGCCTCCCTAGCGTTTTTGGACGGGAATCCTAGGAGGAACTACGAGAAAGTCGAGTGCCTGGCAGAACACGAACTCTACCAGTCTACCATCCACTATGAGTTGGAACGATGCCACTCGCTGTCAGTTGTCAGTAGTAAGTGAGACACACTGTGCTGTCCTTATACAGTAAGTATAGTTAGGAACAGCACGTCTCACTGTTCACATCAATAGCGTCCTGGACAATGTAGGCCATAAAAAACGGCAACACCAGCAGGTCATTTGTAAAGGCAACAGACACTCATGTTCGTTGTTCATCCTAAAAGCGATTCTCTGCGGCAGACCAAGAATGCCTTCTACGCGCTTTTCTAGCTGAAATTTCAGTCATCGAACGCACAGATTTTGCCACTTCAATCAAAGTCCTTCCGCACGTGCTCTTCGCACTCAAATGCCACAATGAACCCTGCAGGAGACCGGTCGCATACGCGGATTGCACCGCCGACCCATCTTATAACCAGCGAGGTGCCATATCTTTGATAACGATCGAGCTAGTGTTCTTCCAGGTTCTCCCCTATGTAGTTGCACGTATAACATCAGTCATGACATTCCAATTGCTAGCATTACGCCCACATTGTGTTGGAGCAATCTCCTCCTATTAGTCCGCTGCGGACATATGACGCAAACAATCTGATATGCACTGCCTGTCATAGAGCCTATTTCGCACGAGTTGACGCTTGATATTATTGTTAGGAATACTCACTAACACAACATCGTTGTCTAGCTGTGCTCGAAAAAGGCATCTTTGAACAGCGGCGGTTATTTTATCAGATATGAATGGCATACATAGGGGAACTTCTTGGCGCGGGCCGCTTCGATGCTCAGTGTGAGTTCGTCCGCGATTTCGATTTCTTGGTACAGCATAGCCGTTTGAAGCAGCTATGTTTGAAGCAAGGCGTATAGACTCTTGCCGCTCTTCCGCACCTGTGCACACGTTTGCAGCCGTCCTGAACATATTCCTAACTACTGCATGTTTCGTGGCGGAAGGGTGAGCAGAAGTGGCATGAATCAGATGTTCTTCGAGCTGCTTTCCTGTAGCCACTTCACACTGAGCCATGCATCAGACAGTTTCACCTGGCGTGTTCAAATAGAGCGGAA